TATATATATAACACATACACACACATTCTTTGGCCACCCTGCACTTCAGCACACAGCAAGTGAGGCAATACATTTCATCTAAACATAAATAATGCACTGGCTGTAAAGTGACCCCATGAACATGCCAAGGCTCAGAACAGTCATTCTATAAGGCTTACAACTACTATACAAACAAGAAACAAAACATTTCACTTTTTCAGGTGAAAGGAATTCATAAACCTGCAAGGCCAGCTTCTATTCAACATCTGAATAATATATTTCTGCAGGTGCTTGAATTACAGTCCCACATACTGTTGAGCACAGTAATACCCTTTCATAGCCATGTATAAAACATGGAAAGCCATTTGCAGATCATCAATGGTCCAGCACCTCAATGTACAAGTTTCATTTGTCACAGTTCTCCTGCATCAGTGCAATAGCTTAAAAGGTCCCTCTAGTGGCAGATAGCATTTTGCCATTGAACAGCAATTACTTTATCATGTGCTTGTTTGATAAAACTGCAAATTAGTTGCACAAGGTCGGGTATTCTGCTGCGCTCGAGGTGCAAAATTCTTGGCCTCCCCATTCTCTTGTGTAGTTATTAGATCAATGATAGCGGAGAGAACAGCGCAGTCTCTGGATTTAGTTTCACTCCAATCCACCGGTTCAGGACTTTCTATCTTATCTTGCAAAAGGGAATCAAGCTCTGTCTTCAAATCCTACAATACAAAACACACAGTAAATACAACATATGACCAGTAACATTCTGGAAGGATGTATCCTGTCTTCTAAAAGCATTCCTGGGGCCTTCATGGCTTTAACCCTAAATATGACATTTTGCACAGCTTTCCATGCGGTGAACAATAAAGCACATTGGATGGTTGCTACCTTTCTAAAGGTGCCCATACACCTTACAATTATCTGCAGATTTTCTGTGGTCAGATGGAAAAAGTGCAACAGATTGGCCCAGGTGGAGGTTACTCCATCCACACAGTTAAGTGTAGATGGAGGAATCTGTTGCACCTTATCCATCTGACCATAGGAAATCTGCTGATAATTGAAAGGTGTATGGCCAGCTTTACAGATGGTAGGTTATTCAACAACAGTGGGGGAAAAAGGCACACTTCCAACACAAACGTTAGATTCCACATAAAACAGCCATATTACACAACACTATGGGACGCTTTCTTAATGTGCTGTCCCTCTGTTGCATAACATGAATATTGGTTAACCTTTTCTTAAAATTAGTTATTTGTATATGGGGTCAAAGGGTTTATTTCACAGTATTTGTATACATTAAAAGGCATTTACGCATTTCAGTACTAGCTTGTATATAGCCATACACTACCAGGTCATTTTTCTATTTCAGTGCTGTGATAGTTTGGCTGCCAATAAACCTTGAAACACTGTGCTCAAATACATTTAACTTTTTTTTTTTGAGACAAATAGAGTTTTCATTTGGTGATATTTGGAACCACTGAAGTTTATATTTTTTTCTATGTAAAAGAAAAATGTACCATAGAACAAGAAGCACAAGCATTGTGTGGTAACTTTATAAATTCTTTATTAAAAATAATGAAAACTGGTACTCACAAAACACTCTTTACAAACAATATGTAAAATAGAATGTTGTCGTTACCATAAAATCCGTTACTCTGAGTACATTGAGGGACACAGCTCTTAAAAATTCTGGCACGCGGGGGTTATGCCGATACCTCTAGATGAAATGGACACCAGGCAAACAAATTAAAAACATACCACTTTAAGGACAGAACCTCTCCCATCTTACACCTGCCAGTTGTAGCAAGCAGCATATAAGGAAAGGAGGGGAGGGAGTTGTGTCCCTCAAAAGGACTCTGTGGGATTTTAAGGTAAGAACAAAATCCCTTTTTCTCTATAGTCCATAGAGGGACACAGCTCTGAAGAATTCTGAGACGTAGGAAAGTTCAAAAGTAGCAGCTGATAAATCCACTTAGAAATAGTGGATCTAGAAACTGAACAATGTTTCCTAAGAGAGAGTGCAAATGTTAAAAGAAAGCTGTGGCTGAGAGATGAACTCTAAAACCCCACGGTACATCCAAAAAGACTAAGAGAAATGTCATGAGGATGAACAAGAGCTGGACAAGGCAAAGGTAAATAAATATCTTCATTTAAATGAAAGGCGGAGACTATCTTGGTTAAAAAGGAAACCTGTGGTCTCAAACAAACCTTGCCCCTATGAAGAACCAAACAGGGTTCTCTACAAGTCAAAGCAGAAAACTCAGAAATCTTTCCAAAGAGATAATGGTCACAAGAAAGACAAAAGGAAAGAAAAGGAGACCTAACAGGAGGAGCTTCACAAGTAACTCCCTGAACAAAAGGAATTAGAAGCAAGAGGATGTTGAAAAAAAGAAGACCAACATGGCAGATGTCTAATCTTTTATAGTAGTAAAGGACTTACACCAGTGAAATAAACCTACCACGTACAGTGATATATCTTACAAGTAGAAAACCTATGAGCCTTATGCATAGTCAGAATAACAGAGTCCGAAATTCTTTTGCCTTTCAACACTTGGGTTTCAACAGCCAGACTGTTAAAGCCACCGATCAAGAAGATCAAAAATAGGACGGATTGGAAAAACCTTGCAGACACGCTCAGGCCATGCAAATCCATATAGAAACCGCAGAAAAAGAAATCACTGCAGAATCCTATTAATTTAAAAAGGACTCACAGGATTAATACTTTCCGCAATGATTCAACTACCCCGTTTCCCCCGAAAATAAGACCTAGTACTATTTTTGCAAATTGCTAAAATATAAGACCTACCCCGAAAATAAGACCTAGTTGTGACCATTCCCAGGGCCGATGGTGGCATAAGGGGGGACTTGAAGAGCCGTGGCAGAGAATCATCGTGCCAACGAAGCCAGCGCTAGAGGAAGCGAGGCGGCAGCAGAGGGAGCAGAGCCCCACAAGCCGATGCTTCCTCTAGAGCGCCGGGTCTGTCACAGGCGAAGTGATACCAAATGCACTCCGCCTGTGAGGAATCTATAGTTACCAAATTGCTCTTGGAAAGGTGTGGCACCCCTGATTGCCCTAAGCATCCTATTCTTAACTTTGCCATTTTGGATTATTTAATTTGGATTTGCATTAACTTTGGATTGTTGCACATTAAAAAAAATAAGACCTACCCCGAAAATAAGACCTAGTGTGTTTTTTGAGCCCAAAAAAATATAAGACAGTGTCTTATTTTCAGGGAAACACGGTAGCATCTCTCGGTATTAGAATCTTCAAGGAAGAAACAAAATAAAGTAAGTTAATTAAGGAGAAGTGAAGGAGACAACCATTCTGACGAGGACACTAAGCGAAACTGACCCTACGTTTCAGAATTCTTCAGAGCTGTGGCCCTCAATGTACCAGAGAAAAGGATTTTATGTTAAGAACAAAATCCTATTATTTGTGAAGCACATTTGTAATTGCAAGCAAGAACTTGGTTTTCTTATATTTTTAAAAAATCAATGCGCGAGGAAGGAGGACCGGTGTGGAACCAGCAGCTGGAAGATATTAGCGCTACGTTTTTGGATCTTGTTAACCCATTAATTTGCTTTGGGGTACTCCCACTGGATATAAAATTAGTCCATGACCAAAAAGTTCTATCACCTTTAGAAATGCACTAGGACTATGGCTTTGTCTTTTAGATTGCAAGCCCTCAGGGGCAGGGCCCTCCTTACCATCTTGTCTTGTGATTGTAATGTCTTCCTTATATTGTAAAGCACTGCGCAAACTGTTGGCGCTATATAAATCCTGAATAATAAAAATAATACTGGGCCATAAACTCCTTGATGACCTCTAATCCTCTTAGAAATGAAAGCAGGTTGTACAAGTTATCTTGGTTCTTGCTTATGAGAGGATAGTAGGAAAAGTAACGCTGATCCCCTCTAGTCTCTTTTAGCCACTTCCTGCCTACATTAAATTGTTCCATTTTCGGCTGCACATCGATCAGGATCAATTGGACCATGCTCATGTAATGTATGCTGGCAGGGCCCTATGCATGACGTGGTGACAACGCAGGAGTATAATTGTGAGACAGTTGTGCCTGCCTAAGAAGGGGGGCCTGAACAAGGATCTCTATGGCTGGATCAACATGGCATTAAATGAATGAAGGTGCATATTAAAAAGAGACTGAAAACTTTTTTGAAATAACAAATTTTTAAGCTTCTGGTGTTTGGGTTCAGATCCATTTTAAGTGCTTATTATAAAATTAGAACTAAAATTCCCAAGGGTGAAAGGAGGATTTTGTATATAATTAGGGAAATAGAGAAGAGGAACATGAACGATGGTTGTGAACTTTCTACTACATCAGTAGAATGGGAAGCATTTAGTATAGTTTAAGGGTCTGTATTATAAAGCAGTTATTGTTGTAGCATTACCTTGACCAGGTGGGCAATCCGAGCAGGCGACTGGAAGACAATCCATTCATCCACAGCAATGGTGTCCTGCCCTTGGTCCTTCTGGATGGAAATATCTCCTCCAAAGAAAAGTAGTGAATATGGAGAGACCTCTGTACAGTCATACAGGTAAATCTGTAGTGATTGACATAACACAATTAGCAGTTGTAAAGGATAATAGGACTTCCATCAAAGAACAGATAAGGTTTATGTGATACCTAGTAAAGCTCCAGAGGCATTTGTGGTACAGTAATGACAGATTTTTTTGGGACATGCATAGTTTTTTTTTTTTCCAGGGGTAATGTCTTTCAAAAATTATTTAAACTTTGAATATATATATATTTTAGAAGGTAAACATAAGTGTGTATATATTTACAAATAAAATGATCCCTTCCTCCTAGCCTACGCCCCCAAACCCCAAATTCCTTTGATGGGCTGCCTCCTTCTTGGTCAATAGGAATGTGTGTGAAAAAGGCAGGAGAAAATCAAACTCTGTCACTATCAGGAAGTGCCAAAGCTTTGCCCATTTAGGACAGTCTACATTTCGCTATTGCCGAGGGAAAAAAAGAGAAACACTTCATTGGTCCTGACTGGTAAAAAGTACAATGTATCCATTTTAATTTACAGTTTAACAAGCATTCACCCTGTTACACAACCAGCATCTCACATCAGTTGCCAAAATGACAGCAGGTACTAAACCTTTGCTCATTTAGGGCTTGTTCACACCATCCAGTGCGTTCAGGGCACAGTTCCGTGCCCTGAACGCACCGGATTGCCCGCAACAAAACGTGTGCTTAAGCAATGCCCTGCATTCTGGTGCTATAAAAAAAAAAAAAAAATCGTGCAGTCACTATTTTTCTGCCATCGCACCCCACCGGAACGCAGGGCATTGCTGTACCATGCATTCTGGTGCTTATGATAGTCTGCCATTGACATAAATGGCACCACCACGCTTCCTCCCATCCCAGAATGTGGGGAGGCTTTGAATATGCAATCTAGTGCGTTAATGCCACGGAACTGTGCCCTGAACACACTGGATGGTGTGAACGGGCCTTTAAGACAGTCAATTTTGGACATGGCAGAGGGAAATGAAAGTAACTGAAGGCATCTGCAAGAATTGCTTAATGTCTACACTGCAGTGCTTTTTTAAGTAACCGTTTTACTTTAAACAGAGTTTGTTACATACATCAGGGTGTCAATCATTGAAAAAAAAATGACACATATTTTCTATTTTCAGGTTTGCATCCGCAACTCCTGTGTAAAAAAAAAAAGAACAGATACATTGTAATTCATTGGTCCAGTCAGGTACTAAATACAATAGAGGGGGGGATTTATGAAAACTAGAGCAGATGCTCAATGTAACCAATCGGCGTCTCTCTTCAGTCTGTTCAGTTAAGCTTTAAAAATGAAAGATAAGTTGCAATGGACATCTTCTAGAGTTTTGATCAACTCCCTTCACTGTATCTATTTAAGTTTGCAGTTTCCTAAAGACTGACCCTATTACACCAGACAGCATCCCCACTACTCTCCTCAAGTGCCAAACCAATGGTGGGTCCCAGGTGACTTGTGGGCATATGCCTGGTGGGAAGGTTTTCAAAATGTATGTGGTACATCCTAGCTCCTTAACTCGCACACAATTTCTGCACTCTAACTAGGTAAACAGAGTCTAAAGGAATCAGGAGGAGATACGTACACTACTGGTTTTCATCTTCAGGTGGTAGACCAGCCAGGAGTAGTGAAACTCAGCTTCATCCACATTAACAGACTTCGGATGAATGCAGACTTTACCATCTGGTTTGGTATAAACTTTTACCCTAATGAAAAAACACCATATTATTATTTTAATAATGTTCTCATGATAACAAACACTCCATTATAATCTCAAATCAGAGTGCTAGTGCAACGGTCTAATCCACACAACTGGATTCTCAAGCAGTAAAATGTCAGAAGCCACAGGTTGAAGAATTTCCTGGTATGCAATTGCCTTACAACCTACCTGTCATGAGACATTAGAGGGTTTCTAAACCCTCCGTTTTTTTGCATATATCTACTGCTAGTAAGCAGAAAAGATTAAATTGTTAGAATTAACTTTTTTAAAAGCAAGACACACTTCTGGAAAAGCAAGAGAGAAGGTGGCTGGTTGAAAATCTATGGCTGAAGAAGTCCTAGTGTTGCTGCATCAATGAACGTCATATATCAAAGTGTCTTCGATTAGGACAGTCTGTATTGCTTCATAGCAACCAGACCTGCCACCTGGAGAATGACATTTTGAAACGGACTATATGTTATATGGGGCATTACAGACAAGCTTAAAAGAACAATCTCCAAAGGGAAAAAAAAATAGTTTTGCAGTGGGGCTACCCCCACACTGCAAGACTTAACTGCTCATTTTTGTCTAGGTGTATTCTGTAAGGAACTTTTACTTCTCTGATCCCTGCCCCACTGCGGCTGCTGGTGATGTCATCACTTCTACCGCTGGGCCCATAGCCTTGCATTACATGCGAGGATGCTGTGACAGTCCACAGGCCAGTGTATGAAGATATGGGGGGAGAGAGAGGGAGAGAGAGAGAGAGAAGAGAGGAGAGAGGAGTGCCGACTTCTGGGATCAGGTAAACAAGTCCTTTACACAATACCCCTAGAGATAAGTGAGCAGTTAACCCCTGCAGTGTAGGGTGGCCAAACTACAAGGGTAGCTCCTCCCCCCCAGAATTCCAGGTATAAATATTTATAATGTTTACAATAATCCAGTTTCATCCGATGTATGTATAAATATCTGGTATGGGCAACCTATAAAACACTGTAGTGGCTGCAGCTACCACTGTGCTCCACAGCGATCTTTCGGGTCCTGAATGTCACTTGTATGTATCCTTGCATTGGTCCAGCTTGGCTCAATGTTAGATTGTATTTTTAAAACGATCTTCCAGGATCTGTATGCTGCTGTGCTGAGCATGGTAACCATGTCACTTTACGACCTACTGTTGAATAAACTATTCAGGTCTCAACCCCTTCATTAGTCTATCTTCCTTAAGATGCCAAGTGTTGGAAAATTCTATTACTTACATTTGCCTTTTTTTACTGAAGCTGGGGCGAATCTTAGCCACTTTTGGATACAGTCCAGCACAGATCACGGCCTTGATGAGCTTTTCATTATCTACAAAACAATACAACTTACTGCAAATGTAAAAGATAAAAGTAACATTGGGCAGATTATCTGAGATTCTTGCTCACCTGAATTGATATTGGCTTTGGAATGCTTTGGACTCCTGCTGCTGACAAAGCCTGTTCCAAGGAGGTGCTCAGTAAACTGCCCTTTCATGTCACTTAACATCTAAAAGAAAAAAGACCGACAGATATGGAAAAAGTTGTTTTACATTGTAGGGGTGTACAGTTGAAAGGTGCAACTGAATCAATTACAAATAATGTGTATAAAAGATTATACCTTAAGTGTATTAGAAGACAGAAAGTTATCCCAGCAGTATTCCCTCTCTGCTCTTTGACCACTTCGCCTTGACTCCTCCCATCCCTATTAAAGGGAGCAAAAACATTAATTTAAGCATATTTCAGTAAAATTAATGATCCTCATTACATGTGGATAATTACAGAGAACTGACATAATGAAAGATCAACAGACTCAATTGCAAATTGTGACATTTTAGCACACAAGAGTAATTAAAGACAATTACCACAAAAAAGGAAAATCTTTCCTATGGCATAATACAAATTAATTCATAGCCGTCGCTTTTTTTTTTTAAGCTGAACTCCAGGCATAAAGATTTATGTATATTAACATTGGTCCAGCTTGGCCCACTGTAAGTATACATATTTTATACCTGGAAGGGCCACAGGAATCCTATAAAACACTGTAGTAGCCGGAGCTACTTTAGAGCTTTTCCGCAATTTTCTGGGCCCTAGTATTGTATCGATCGACTTCCCTCTAACGGAAATTCAGTAATAAAGCACACATCTTACAAAAGTCTGGACAGCTTACTTGTCTGTGATTGAGGTTTCGGGTAGACCTCTTCAGAAGGACAAAAGACTTCATCAGTTACAATTTTACTTTTACTTACAGTTTGAAGTAAAATAAAACTTACATGAATGTGAAGCATTATCTCTCAAGAATGATTCTTTTCCAAAACCTCTCTATTAAGAGCCAAATGTAAACTACAAAGCATATACAAAATAAATAAAAAATAAATAAGCGCATCACTGCTCACCAAGAAAGCATTCAGAACAGTCAAGTGGTCACTCTTCGTATTTTTGGACAATTCTTTCCTTCTCGCATCTGCTACTTTTTCCTTTCCCTTAAAAAGCAAAAATAAAAATAAAATTAATTAATACAAAGCCTGCCGTGATTGGCTCAGCGCGGTATACTGTATGTAGCCGAAGCTACATACAGTATACCGTATCCTTCCGTATGCGATCTTCGGGGGATGTTTTAAGGTCTCAAAACCCGTCTTATACGCCGGGGATTACAGTATATATATATATATACATTATATATATACACATCATCATACAATACAATGTAAAATCTGAATAAAACAATAAAATATGTAACATAATTGCTGTAGAAGCTCATCCAGGCAGCTGCAAAGACCAACACATATCCCCCAAGTTTAGAAGTTTTAGAAGTAGGGGTGCCAGACCTTGTGGCTGGATGGGGAACCACCCTTGGGGGGTCATTATGTTAAAGCAGAGGTTGAGCTGAAAACAAAGGAGAGGCAACTCCAGCCGTGCTTTAACTACAAAACAACATGCCTCGGCATCTGGGAGTCATGCCTGCAACTGTCAGTCTTGCAATGCCTCGTGGGTCCTGAAGTTCCACAACAGCTGGAAGACTGGAGTTGCCCACCCCTGCCCTGAACATATGTACTGAGAAGACTAATACAGGAAATAAGCTGGGAGGCTTCTAACAGGCCATCACAGCTAAGGTTCCATGTGCTGAATTATTTGAGGGTAAATGGCAGCAGCAGTTAGATCCCTTTGAAGGGATATTGACCAATCAGACATGGGTCTTGCAAAGCATAATTACAGCCAAACATGGATGGAAGGCAGGATCAGCCAAGGAGAACATAGTTCTGGAAAGTGTCAGCCACTTATGGTTTGGGTCTCTAAAAGCAGTATCGTCTTCAATGGGTATGGTAGTCGCCTTGTTAAGGCGAGACACAGTAGGAGAACATTTTTTATGTTGATACGTGTCTAAGTGAGGGAGAGCTTCAAGCTGTTAGGTATCCCCACTCCAACATATGCATTAAAAAAAAAAAAGTCTAAAGTTTACCACTTTCATTAACCTTCATCAACTTTGCACAAGTCAGATAAAGCACCTGCCTTGAAAACTCACTGAAGAAAAGATGGAGTCTAGTGTATAACAATATTAAATACCACACATTTTACTAAAGGCACACTAGCGACTTACCAAAGGAATAACAAATGGGTCTTTAAAGCTGAGACATGCTGCAATTGTTAAGACAGGATCCAAACAACCAAACAATGCTCCAAAGAGAATCATCTTGCCAATGTGCGGTTCAACTGGTAACCGTGCCAAGTGAAAGCCCAGGGGAGTCAGTTCCTCACGTTTATTGAGAGCATTCTGTAAAGAAATGGAACAGATTAGCATTTCTACCAAGTTGTCAGACCTGTGAGTCCTAAGACTATTGAAGCAGAAGAGTCCATATAAATAAACCTTATGACATTCAGTTACTCCAACACATGCATTAAAACCATAATGATTTAAATGTCTGTTACTAAATCAATTTACATAAAGCATTTCATGTTTATAGATAAAACAAATAAAACATGCATTCATGTTGTTCTATAGAAGGACAACACATGGCATTGGTTATCATTTTTATTGTGTTGTTAATGTATATGGCTCTATTTTTTATTCAATTACTGTTATGATTTTTCCAGATTTCCCAAAACAATGCGATTGCTAAAAGAACCTTGCAGAATGGATACATATACGCATACTTGACGCCAATAACGGACTGCGGGACCCATTTGCATTTTCACACATATGTTTGTACCTACCAGCTCAATTAGATGGTTTATAGCCAGGCACACTGCCTTCTCTGATGGTGGATCCATCAGCTTTCCTAGGAAGAAACCAATGCCTCCAAGCTTTAAAATCTGCACAGGAAACATAATACAGAATGATCAATAGCACTAACCTTAGCACAAAGTGACAAAGGAACGTGTAGAACATGTACAAACCTTAATCTGCAGGCAAAGTTCCTCCAGAGGTGTCCTTACAATTTCTGGCAGCTGGTAATCATCTAGCAGCATATCCCTCAGGCTGTTGTATAGATGATAGCAACAACCTGGCTTTACTCTGTCAGAAAATCAAATAAAAATGTAATAAAGTAAATGTAATTTGTTACTTCAAGACATATTTCAGCACTGTATGTGGTTTCTATATAGCTAGCTGGGGGACCATAACATCAAACTCCACACTTGCTTACCTGCCAGCACGACCTTTCCTCTGCTTGGCATTAGCATGGCTAACCCATTCTACCGTCATGGTGCTGATGTTATTCTGAGTGTCGTAATTGGTTTCCTTTATTTTGCCACCATCTATCACGTGCACAACATCATCTATTGTGATACTAAGACGAAAACACAAGAGACATTTTTATTACTTTTTCCTCTATCACAACCAATAAAAATAAAGATGGGAAACTCTCACTGAAGTCTCGAAAATATTTATATATTATTTTTATTTGCCTTATTTGTCTGTTCGGTAGAGTTTGTTCTATCACAGTAGACCAAAACTTTTTTGCCTATTAAAAACCAACAAACGCTAAAGTTTAAGTGCCCAACAATGAATGTCTCTTCTTTACTACCTTTTGATCCATTAAATTATAAAACTGTATATTGAAAGCAATTTGTCTTATCTGTTCAATTTACCATATCCTGCCAGAACCCTTGTGAGAAGATAAATTCATGTGTTACTTTCCTATGGTGCACGCTTATGAGTAGGCATTTTTACCGGCTGTCCTTGCTGGGAACAAAATATCCCCCAAAGTTATAGAGAAGAGGAGAGGGGAGTTGTCCTGTAGTTCTGCCCTTGGGTAAAAACGCCACTACTCCACAGATACAGTGCAGTTCGTGGGCTTTGTCACTCTGTGTTTTACTGGCTGGATCACCAGATAAAACCGAAGGCCCGAAGAAAGAAAACTAATGCAGCCCCAATATCTAAGGACTGGTAACTTGGTGCAGGGTGGGATGTTTCCAGGATGCTTTTTAAAATTCGCTTTGCCCTCCAGTCTTCCCAGGTAGAAATTTTCCATTCAACTACACATCATAAAAGGTAAATAGCATAGTAATCAGTAACAGTTTTTGAAATATACAGAACTGTGAAAAAGCTTTAGGCACTTGTGAAAAAATGCAGTAAAGTGATGATGCTTTAAAAATAATGCAGTGAATAGTATTATGTATTAACAACCCACAATGTGCACAACCAGCATCAATTCTACTCAGTATACATTCACAGTTTTTTTTTTTTTTTTGAGAACTCAGAAGGTAGGTTGTTCCAAACAATGTAGGAGAACAAACCTTCTTTTAGGGATCGATTCTAGGCGGTTTTAGTTCCTTTTGTCACTTCTTGTAATATCAGACAGAATTAATGATGAGGTCAGGGCTCTGTGGGTGCCCATCAATTCCAGAGCACCTTATTCTTTTCCAAAGATAGTTCTTTATAACTTTTGGTGTATGTTTGGCATCACTTTCCTGCTACAAAATGAATTTGGCACTGATCAGATGCCTCCCTGACTGTACTGAATGATGGATACGCATCTGCTTGCACTTTTCAGCATTGAGGAGACAATTAATTCTGACCGAAATTCCCAACTCTGCGTGCATAAATACAGCCCCACAACCTGCAAGGAACCTCTACTGTGCTCAACTGTTGCCTGCGTACACTTGTTCTTGTACTGCTCTCTGGAACTTTGGCAAACACACTGCCTTCTCTTACAGCCAAAGATTTCATATTACTACTGATGGTCCATAGTACCAACTGCTATTATTTTGTATACGCAGTACTTGCGATATTGCGCATAGGCAAGTCATTTAGCCTTGTGCTACCGTTCAGAGATATAGCTTTTTAGCCAGAAGTCTTACATGAAGGCCACTTCTGACCAGACTTCCCCAGATTGAAACCAGTGGTACCCTGGTACACACATCTACATTTAGGTAACTGACTGAATTGGACGCTGCTCATTTCTTTGTGTGTCTGCATTTCCCTATAATATCTGCCTGTGTGAGACCACTGTGTCTTGTTGCAGTCTTGCCATTGTGTAAAATGATTTTTTTTTTTTCAACTGAACTTTAGCTGATGTCTTCAGCGACCTCAGCTTGTTAATAAGGTATGGCTTTTTCTCACCCAATTTTCATTCCTCCTACACGGCTGATTCTGTTTGATTTAATGGATGTATTTTAACCCATATGTTATTCTGTTGATCACGAGGAGCACCTGTTTGGTATAAATGTTTAATCATGCACTACATCACATGCCTGCAAAATCCTTTAAGTGTGGGATTAAAAATAACAAAACAACCTTTGCAGTGGGGGTTCCCTGTACTGCAAGGGTTAGTTGCTTGTCAAACCTAGGGGTAGAGGAATAAGCTGTAATACTGGCATTACTCCTCACTCCAGCAGGCTTGCGGAACTCACCTGTTCTCTCCAACGCTCTGGATTGTCAGTACAAAGCAGGAGAATTGGTGACATCAGAGTGTGACCTCCAGTATTACATCTTATTATTCTACCCCTAGACTTAACAAGCATTTAACTTCTGCAGTGAGGGGTCTACCCACAGGAAAAGTATTTTTTCTGGTACCCAGAGCAGAGCTTTAAAATTATCCTGAAGCTTATAGATTTAGCTTATCCTGAAGCAGCCCCATAAGAAAGATTTCCACTTGAAATAAAATTTCTTGCAGCAAAATGCTCGATATATACTGTATTTCCAAATATTTAAAAGTACAAAGATATTTAATAGAAATTTAATCTGAATACTGCAGTTGAATGCATTATTCTGTGAAAGAGGTTTTAGGACTGCCTGGCCTACAGCTAATTTATGGTTTTGATTATGTGACCCTCGTCCACCTCTTTATTTGAGAGAATCTCTGTCTGACTTTTTACTTTTCACTGGTTACAGAGGCGGTCACCCAACTGGAGACAAGGAAAGTGTGTGGGTGCAGTCATCATCTCAAACCAGCATCATAAAGAAAAGCACTTAAATATGATTTTAAAACCAGTGACTTTCATAAAAGTACACATACCCTTTAAATTTAAGCAGGATGTACATACTTAAGGAGTAGCTGGTCACAGACACAAGTTTATCACTGAACACACCAGGTGATAACATATATGCCTGTCATAAAAACAGTGCACATATCCCGAGGTCCTGTCACAATCTTTTTTTTCTTAAAAGGAGAACTATGGGGTTAGGGCTTTTCCCCATAGTTCTCCTAAGGGTAACGGGGAGGACACAAACTAGCGTCCTTCCGTCACCCAAAGCTCCGTATACCGCGAGCTGTAGCTCGCGGTATACTGAAACGCCGCAGCCGGAACAGATGCAGACAATTATGTCTGGATCCACCCAGCTGCGTGAGTGACAACTGGCTCTGCCTATCTAGATAATAACTATTTTAATTTAACTATTAGAAAATCGAACAAACGTTCTGAAAATAATTTACCTTGAAAACACCTTAGAAAATTGGTCAATGAAGGAAGTCAAAAGGCATAAGGTAATATCCAAATGTTTTGTAAACTGTAATTTAATACAACACATTCTGTAGAGATCATCTACCAATTACCTGTGCACAGCCTTACCTTGTCTCTGCAATGTTGGTGGCAATCACAATCTTTCGAACCCCAGGAGGTGGTGTTTTGAAAACCTGAAAGAGACAAAAAGTTTAAATAATAATTTGTCCTACAAAGTTTACTTTTAGGCAACTTTAAAAAAAGTTGCCCGATACATGAACAATAAAACACACTTAAAAACACCTTTGCTCTTTTTATATAACCAAATGCAGCAAGTTTGTAAATAACACTACTCTTATCCCCTTCCTTTGCTGTCCTTTGAAAACTTTACTGGGCTTTTAGATGGTCCTACCAGTTAAAATGTCATTGTACTTTTGATAAAGTTGCCTGCAGACACAGAGATAGAAAACATGTGCATATCAATTTATCTTTAGGTGGGCATCCTAACCAGGCTAATAAAACGACAGTCAGGAAGAGATTAAACAGGTAAGCCTACACATCTTGGGGCATAATTGGGTGCCTTCTTACATACTACGCTAAAAATAACTGCAGCCTCTGCACATTAACTTTTGAAATGGATGTTCTTCATAATTCTTGGGCTACTGGCCTAAGTAAGGGTAACAAACAGCTTATTATATTCTCTTTGTCACAAAAATAGACATATGCATTAAACATGATGAAAAAAAAACAAAGCAATATCAAACATTAATAAATGTTACACAGATCCTTTATTCTCGGTAGATATAGATATGGAAACAGAGACATTGGAAGGATTAACAATGAGAAAATAAAGGCCGGCACACAAGCCTACTGAGTAACTGGTCTAATATGACCTTTCATTTTAAAAGTGTAACTTAATTTATTTAAATGTGAATCCACACATGTTTTTCAAACACAACCCTTTTAGGAATAATGGCTTGTGGTCAACACAGGTTATTCAGTACAAAGAGGATCCCATAACAACCAGATTACACTATGCTATTTATGACCAGTACATTTAGGTAGAAAAAACTGTAATATCCCATTGTAAATATTCTCCTTGTAAACGGACATAGTCTAACAAGAAGATGTGAGGCCTGGTTCACACCTGTACGTTTTGTAGCGCGTTCAACGCTCTACAAAACGCTCAAACATGAAAATCCCATTGTTTTCTATGGGTATGGTTCACACCTTGCCGTATTTCAGCACGTCTGAATGCGCTACAAAAACGGCCTACGCCTGAAAAGGTACATGAGCTTCTTTGCGCCGTTTTTGTCGTGCGTTTCCATTGAGATACAGCAAAGTAGCCCTCGGAAACACACGTTTGTCGCACGTTTTTTTACCGCGAATCGCGGTAAAAACGCACGTCACGAAATGTGCGACAAACACGCGTCACGGAACGTGCGACAAATGCGCATATTCGATATGCCTAGGTGTGAACAGAGCCTGAGTCTTCGTATACAGGAAACAAAACACTGGCTTCTTACTTAGAGAAGGAGTCTTCAATAAAAGTAAGAGACAGAGGAATTGCAGTGTTTTATTGTCCTCTATACCAAAATCAGTAAAACAGTGATTGGCTTCCATAGGTTACTAAGCACTGAACATTGTTGTTTGCGTTGCTAGATGGATCTACATACATTATTCTAAAAAGAAATGTTACAATTTAGAACTCTATGTGAAATCTGATGTCCGGGGAAAAAAGGTAGATTTGACATGATATGATATGACAGAATCCAGAGTGTTGCGATGTTAAGAACTGGGCCACTAATAAGATGCAACTGAAGCAATGTAAAAAGCACAAAGTTTCTTGTGAAATAAGTAATTAAACATACCTGTGTTTGGTTCACAGTTGGCATCAATGAATGCAGAGGGATAATAATAAACCGATCTGCAAATAAGGTAGATTTTAGAGATCTGAGTTAACACCAACAAAAGAAGCATTAGGTAAAACTTGGAAGACAAGTAGATTTGTATAGGCTACCTGCATATTACTGCCTGCACCTGAGATGCAGATCTCCCTCTGCAGTTCAAACTATATTTTGCATGCCTTTGAAGACATTAGTCAAACTGGGTTAATTATAAAAGGCATGCAGCTAAACTGATAAAGTAAAATCTGTAATGAGAGAAACAAAAAAGGTCTTCATTGCAAACCTCCTTTAGAAAATCTTAGCTGTCTTATTATCTCCGACATGAATACTATGATTTGCTGAAGGGATATTCAGATACCAGTGTCAATACTTGGCAATTTCACGAGAACTACCAGGGTTGCAGCTGGGACCTGGCTCTGGCGCTCCACCACTGTCCTGAAATCATTAGTCTGTACTGTTTTAGAAAAACTGTCACATGACAATAAACAAAAATGTATCAGTACTTGTATCTGTGAGGACTTGGGACAGGTATCAGTACGTGTGCTTGAAAAAATGGTATCGGTGCATCACTTATATTTATTTATAAAAAAAATAATCATACATTAAAACAGGGGTGCACAAATCCCAGGAGCTCCGTGTGCTCCTTAGAAATGACAGCTGCCTTCTAACTTTTACATATCTCTCTGGTCTAATCTTGGAGCTGGAAAAGTATCTGTACTTGTACCGAATATGGTACTTGGTATCTGAACATCCCTAATTTGCTGCACTGGAACAAATATGTAGCCAGTGTCAAGTCAGAATTCTGGATCTGCATACTTTTTCTTGGCCAGTCTCTATGAAAATACTGGATCATCAAGGCCCCCAAGCTACTAGTATTTTCAGGTGAGGTCAGCAATGGCAACATTTAAATAGCTTACCAGATTTAAACATAATTTGTGACATCAGCAAGTCATTAAGGGTGCTGATATTGTCCCAGCCTGGGAGGAACACCAATATTGCCCCATCCTGAAACAAGAGGAAAGAAAAATTGAAAAGTTGAAATAAATAGTCCATCAAAACACCTCCTCTATGAATCAGGAAATAGTTTAAAATACTAATAACAAATAATCTGCTGTCTGGTTAGCCCAGGACAATAGAGAAAAATAAATAATTAGCACTGAATATAATATAAAAAAAAAAAAAGTACCAGACGGCACCCTTGGCCGACATGGTTTAACACATTTTCAGACTCTACTCCACAATAGCCCTCTTTCACCCTCCCTTTTCAAACACATGAATGTGAATGCAACTGTATTGGCATAGTACGCGGTACCAATTATATATTGTCTTTTGCTGTCTCTACTTTGGTTTTTCATCTTGTTATACAAGTGTTATAACCATAGCCGAGTAAGCCGAGTACTTAAGCTCGCTTCATCTCAAACTCCTGAATTGTTTTCCTATGCTGACTGTTTGCGGTCATCTTTGTTTTCTTCCCTTATTCATTAGTTAAATGTCTTGTTATATTGCTGTAATAAAATCAATAAAACCTTATTTGATTTTTAAAAAGTACCAGACGCATCAATTAACTGAAGACGTGTGTGTATATTAACGTCACAAGTCCTGTAGCACTCCTTACCGGAAAATCCAAAGAGGTTAAACGGGTGCCCCAAATGACAGCGGATGGTGCCGCACATAGAACAACTTGAGGATGTCACCAGCACACCAGGCACGACAAAAACAGATGGGTCCGTGCAAATCTATTTAACGATAGGTCACTCGGAAAATCAAGCACTTTCGGGGCCACACAGGGTCCCCTTCATCAGGTTCAGCGTCGCACTGACCCATGTGTTTTTGTCGTGCCTTGTGTGCTTGTGACATCCTCATCCAAAGTTGTGTGTGTATTAAAAGCACAACTTCAAGTAGCAGGTAAAAAAAAAAAGGCGACATCTCATTCCTCGCTACCACTGTCTTACTCCTCTCCATATCACCAGTCCTACGAATCTGCTTCACTGCACTGCTCAACCAGTCGCAGCTCTCAAATGTCATCATATGCAACACAGGACCAGGGGTCCTGCATTGTGCATGAGAACTGAGAGGGCCTGCCACATCCCCAGAGAGTAGGACAGCTGAAAACAATGCCAGCTGCTGGGGGAGTGAGGAATAAAAGGTAAATATTACTCCATATTTTAATCCCCCTAGATAAAATGAGCGGGAATTTCACTGCAAAATTTCACTGGAGTTCAGCATTCAAGTATATCTTAAGTCAAAGTAGAAGATTGTTGCTGGGGACCTCGCGGCAGCCTTCTGGGGAGCTATGTGGTGCCTGTTCACAGCGCTTTCGCTGACCCACACATCTCGACCTCCTGAGACCCTCTGCAGGTCTCCTCCTCCTCCTTCCACACCCCTCCTGAGACCATCTGCATCCCCCACAATAAATGTGCTCCTAAAACCTTAGATCCCCCCACATTCCATGGAAAAAATGTTTTCCACAAAACTGGTCACTGGTGCTAAAAAGGTTGGGGGCCGCTGCTGCAGAGGGTCAAGTGTACTGTGGGTACATGGTGAGTGTTGATGGTACTGAGATACAATGTGAGGAGTACTTTCTGGTTCTACTTTGCACATAAGGCCCAGGCTCACATCACAGGAGACCTGAACAACATGCTAAATCAAGAACTACTTTATAGTGAGGGGGTGTTATGCTTTACAATATGGGGGACATACGGTACGCTGTTGATTGCTTATTCCCACTATTTTATGACTCACTCCTCTTCACCCAATACAGATTTCTCTTAGGATGACATATCTATTATACTGTTAATTATGAGGGGTGTTAGACTGCTGATTTAGGTGGGCTGTTACACTGTTGGCATATAGCAACTGAAAGAATTCTATTATTTAAAAACAAAGCTTAATGTGCATCCAAACCCAGAAAAAAAACCCTTCTTTTATTTGCTCCATTAAATATACCACTGGCAGTATTTTGTTATCTCTGTTCGTTATGTGCAAAAAAAAAAAAAAACCTGCTTATCCTGTCATGTTTGTTGTGAGCAGAGAATGAATAAACCTGCAGCAGGTGCACATGAAGTTAACATTGTTCCTAGTTGTCTTCTCTACAGAAAATGTTCCCCCTTGATTTTGAAGAAGAGGACAGGGGGAGGTGTCTTTTAGCTCTGTCCCAGGGTGACAACGCTGCTGCTTCATAGATAAAGAGTACAGCGAATGAAGAACAGGAAGTGTGTTACTGGCAGGATCACCAGGTAAAAAACAAGGGGAAAAAAGCTTTTGTAAATAAAACTAAGGCAGCCACCACATCTAAGGACTTGTAAGCTGCAATAGATTACATTTTTGTTCTTGGGTTTAGATAATCGAGAACAACATTTAAAAGACAATGTGTACCTTTGGTCTCAGTTTTTTTTTTATTTTATAAATGTAGGACACCCTCCAGCCAGTACAGAATTTCAGCATAATTTAACGATAGGTCACTCGGAAAATCAAGCACTTTCGGGGCCACACAGGGTCCCCTTCATCAGGTTCAGCGTCGCACTGACCCATGTGTTTTTGTCGTGCCTTGTGTGCTTGTGACATCCTCATCCAAAGTTGTGTGTGTATTAAAAGCACAACTTCAAGTAGCAGGTAAAAAAAAAAAGGCGACATCTCATTCCTCGCTACCACTGTCTTACTCCTCTCCATATCACCAGTCCTACGAATCTGCTTCACTGCACTGCTCAACCAGTCGCAGCTCTCAAATGTCATCATATGCAACACAGGACCAGGGGTCCTGCATTGTGCATGAGAACTGAGAGGGCCTGCCACATCCCCAGAGAGTAGGACAGCTGAAAACAATGCCAGCTGCTGGGGGAGTGAGGAATAAAAGGTAAATATTACTCCATATTTTAATCCCCCTAGATAAAATGAGCGGGAATTTCACTGCAAAATTTCACTGGAGTTCAGCATTCAAGTATATCTTAAGTCAAAGTAGAAGATTGTTGCTGGGGACCTCGCGGCAGCCTTCTGGGGAGCTATGTGGTGCCTGTTCACAGCGCTTTCGCTGACCCACACATCTCGACCTCCTGAGACCCTCTGCAGGTCTCCTCCTCCTCCTTCCACACCCCTCCTGAGACCATCTGCATCCCCCACAATAAATGTGCTCCTAAAACCTTAGATCCCCCCACATTCCATGGAAAAAATGTTTTCCACAAAACTGGTCACTGGTGCTAAAAAGGTTGGGGGCCGCTGCTGCAGAGGGTCAAGTGTACTGTGGGTACATGGTGAGTGTTGATGGTACTGAGATACAATGTGAGGAGTACTTTCTGGTTCTACTTTGCACATAAGGCCCAGGCTCACATCACAGGAGACCTGAACAACATGCTAAATCAAGAACTACTTTATAGTGAGGGGGTGTTATGCTTTACAATATGGGGGACATACGGTACGCTGTTGATTGCTTATTCCCACTATTTTATGACTCACTCCTCTTCACCCAATACAGATTTCTCTTAGGATGACATATCTATTATACTGTTAATTATGAGGGGTGTTAGACTGCTGATTTAGGTGGGCTGTTACACTGTTGGCATATAGCAACTGAAAGAATTCTATTATTTAAAAACAAAGCTTAATGTGCATCCAAACCCAGAAAAAAAACCCTTCTTTTATTTGCTCCATTAAATATACCACTGGCAGTATTTTGTTATCTCTGTTCGTTATGTGCAAAAAAAAAAAAAAACCTGCTTATCCTGTCATGTTTGTTGTGAGCAGAGAATGAATAAACCTGCAGCAGGTGCACATGAAGTTAACATTGTTCCTAGTTGTCTTCTCTACAGAAAATGTTCCCCCTTGATTTTGAAGAAGAGGACAGGGGGAGGTGTCTTTTAGCTCTGTCCCAGGGTGACAACGCTGCTGCTTCATAGATAAAGAGTACAGCGAATGAAGAACAGGAAGTGTGTTACTGGCAGGATCACCAGGTAAAAAACAAGGGGAAAAAAGCTTTTGTAAATAAAACTAAGGCAGCCACCACATCTAAGGACTTGTAAGCTGCAATAGATTACATTTTTGTTCTTGGGTTTAGATAATCGAGAACAACATTTAAAAGACAATGTGTACCTTTGGTCTCAGTTTTTTTTTTATTTTATAAATGTAGGACACCCTCCAGCCAGTACAGAATTTCAGCATACAGTGTCCCACATTCAACTTCTGCCTGGGACCTTATTTTGTCTAAAACCAGCTATGGCTTCAGGAGTCAGTGTAGCTATACCTACTGTCAGGCTGATATGAAGTTTCAGCTGGTATACAAAGGAAAAAAGGATGGCACATGTAATTAAACATAGCTCAGTTTAGGACTACAATTTAGCAACCGTAGTACTGAATAAGTATACAGGGAGACTAAAGTAAATAAAAGTTTTTACATGCACACACCTGAGTTCCTTCAACATAAAAGAAAGTACAAAATATAGATAAAGACATTACAGTGTTTAACCTTACCTCCCCTTTTAGGACAATGTGCCTGATAAGCTCAGCAATCAGTTCAAGGTCAACCTTCTCGTCATCTATACATTGCAAGGCATGGATAGTACTTTCAGAGTAGCTATAGAAAAGAGAGAATAACTTATAAAAAAGGTTTATCGTCTCATAAACTGCTATTACATCACCTCAACCAATCACTTTCCTGCCTCATTATCCATCCCACATTAGAGACTTCACTAAAGCTGGCCATACACAGTCACATTTTTTTCGTTCAGCCTGTGGCCTGAATGAAAGACATATATCAGATTCCTCCATCCACACGAAACAGTGTGGATGGACAAAACACGCGATGGGCTGTTGTATTGTGACAGCGGCAAGTGTGCCACTGTCAGAATACCATTACTGTGACGGCAGCCGATTAGCTACTGTCACCATTAGCCCCCAAATTTTCTAAACGGCCCCATCGATTTTGTGATCGAAGGATGCTGCGTGGAAGGGTTCCAAATGGGTCACCTACTAAATTAATTTTGGCCAGCTTAAGAGTCCCAGTGGTGTGGTAAGCTGTGCAATAATCTTTGTATATTGACTTTTACATTTAAAAGACCTCAAACATCGATAAAACAAATGTGTCTGTATTAAACCGGTGAAAACACATGGCAGTGAAAATACCTCATGCTTTTGTAAATTAAGCATATAAATCCTGCTGAATGCTTTTCTTTTTGTTAGTAGAGTTTTATTAAGGTTCTATACATACAATTCTGAATTCTTTGACATGTGTACAACAGTGTTTTTTTCCACCTGCACAATAAAACTAGCGCACCCAGGCAGAATAAAGTCCATAAAGTTTGCACAATTTGAGGAAATGTCCGCAACGTACCGTTCTTGAAGTTTCCGCACAAATCCTGGAAAGCGCTCCTGGTAAATCTCCTCCTTCTCTGCCGTCTCTGGTCGCATCATTCGTCCTTGCATAAACCGTTTCTTCCACTGAGGCCTACTGTCTTTGTCTTTAGGCGAATACCTAAACATATGATGTACATTACATGAGTTCTAGAGCTGCAAGGGTCACATTGTCTCACAGAAGACAGCCCACCTGCATCTAGCTACATGGCGGTACAGTTGCCACTAAGGATACAGTACACATAAATAGGTGCTGAAGCATTACAGTGGACCTATGCTTACATGTTATTAGAAAGAGGAAAAATGTAAAATGAAACAAACCTTAGCATTTCAATGACATCTTCCAAGAGATACTCTTTGACCGGGAAAGTAAATCCAGGAATATGCAGCATTGGACACTTATCTGTACAGAGGAAACACATAGATAACATTTCATTCTCAGCAAAATAAACTGTTTTATACACATTCACCAGAGTCAAAGGATATTCTGTTAGGTCGAATAGTGCAGTAGCTTTTCTTTATAGTTCCAGAAAAGGTAACACGTTCCTGTTGCGCCTCAGTAGCAAACTACTTGATGATGCCAGGAAGCCTTCAAAGCCTGGGCAGGACCTTGGTTTCCAGCTGGAACCTTTAAAGTGATGCTGTTCTCCAAATAGCCTAGATGCAGTAGCTTCTTTTGTTCTCTTTACACACTGTTACCGGGGGCCTGACATTCCCTGACTTCATGATTAATCTGCACCAGTTTTCACCGACAAAGACAGTGGGCCAAATTACATTAAATCGAGGTTGTTGAGGAATGCTAATTATTAGGGCTGCAGCTAACGATTATTTTCATAATCGATTAGTTGGCCGATTATTAAGTTCGATTAATCGGTTAATCGGATAAAAAAAAAAAAGGCTCCAGTGATTGACGACTAGTTTGTGTTAAGATTGTAGTCCATCATGGGAGCAAGCTTGGCGCGGTGGAAGTAAAAAAAAAAGTGTGGTGTGCAATATAGTACATTATACAGCGGCGCAGTGCAGAATACCAGCAGCTATAGAGGAATGTAGCAATAGTACATTATACTATAATGCACTATTGCTGGGATTTGTAGTCCTCTGTAGCTGGCGTTATTCTGCATTCTGCATATTCTCTATAGCTGGTGGTATTCTCCATTGCGCTGTATAATGATTTATACTGCGCAATGCAGATTACCACTGACCAGTTATAGAGGAACAAATCCCAGCAAAAATACATTATACAGCGCAATGGAGAATACCACCAGCTATAGAGGAACAACAAGTCCCAGCAATAATACATTATACCGGGTGTTTAATATATTATTGCTGGGATTTGTTGTTCCTCTATAGCTGGTGGTATTCTACAGTGTGCCGCTTTTTTTTTTTAAAACAGGAAACATTAAAACAGGTCCCCCTTACCTGTTTCTGAACCCTTGTAAGTCGCGGCGGCGTGCTCTGCGGGCGTGTGTCCGGCTTGTGTGGTGGGCGTGGCATACGTGGCGTGGTCGTGGCGTCCGCGGCGTGCGTAGCGTAACTCGTACCTGTTCCACCATAGCACCCCTGTTCCACAACGGCACCCCCACACAACTATTCCACCATTGCACGCCAATACACCTATTCCTCGCTGCACCTTCATACACCTGTTCCACCGCTTCACACCCATACACCTGTTCCACACAGCACCCCCACACCTATTCCACTACTGCACCCCCAAACACCTGTTTCACACAGCACCCTTGTACACCTGTTCCACCACAGCACCCCCACACCTATTCCACTACTGCACCCATACACCTGTTTCACACAGCACCCTTGTACACCTGTTCCAACACAGCACCCCCAAACACCTATTCCACCACATCACACTCATACACCTGTTCCACACTGCACCTCCATACCCCTTTTCCACCACCGCACCCCCGCACACCTGTTCCACCACTGCATCCCTGCACCCCTGTTCCACCACTGCATCCCTGCACCCCTATTCCACCACTGCACCCCCATACACCTGGTCCACACTGCACCCCCATACACCTGGTCCACCACTGCCTCTCCACACAGCTATTCCACACTGACACCTGGTCCACACTGCACCCCCATACACCTGGTCCACACTGCACCCCCATACACCTATTCCACCACTGCCTCTCCACACAGCTGTTCCACACTGACACCTGGTCCACACTGCACCCCCATACACCTGGTCCACACTGCACCCCCATACACCTATTCCACCACTGCCTCTCCACACAGCTGTTCCACACTGACACCTGGTCCACACTGCACCCCCATACACCTGGTCCACACTGCACCCCCATACACCTATTCCACCACTGCCTCTCCACACAGCTGTTCCACACTGACACCTATTCCACCACTATATCCCCGCACACCTGTTCCACACTGCAGCTCCGTCCACCACTGGCTTCAGAAGGTGGGCCCTCGATTGTCGGCGGGCCAGCGACGAGTGAGGGAGATCGCGTCAGGAAGTAGAGCAGCGGCGTGCGCGGCTTCAGCGTCCTGTGCGGTGGGCGTGGCTTACGCGGCCTGTGCCGTGGGCACGGCGGCCGCAGCGGGAGCAGCGTGTGACGTGTGGCTCAGGCCGCATGTGGAGCCCGGAACAGCCCCGAACAGGCAAATCAATCGATAGCCGACGAATCGAAAACGTTGCCAACGTTTTCAATCGTCGATTTTAATCGACTAAATCGATTAACTGTTGCAGCTCTACTAATTATCGCACATGACATCTTATTTGGTTGTGATTCAGGTCACAAACTATTGTTGCAGTACATATAGTTTATTAGGCGCATAGTAGAATATTTCGCCATCATCCTCATGGATTACTGCAACACACTTCTATTGGGCTAAATAGTGACAAACAAATTTTCTGAACAATCATTTATTTGGTGCAGATTGTGAGACTTTTTGTTCGAAAAGTCCCATTTAGGATTTTGTTTTACAATTGGTGTACTAGTTGCATCTTTTATTTCACACCCTTAATTTGAAATATATCTCTCCAATCAGTGGCACCAAACCGAGGTCCATAAAAATCCAACTTTATTGTTGTAAATTACATGCAAAGTTCAAAATACAAGATATACACCACCATAGTCTCTCGCCCACTAATTAGAGTATGGCGGTGTATACCTTGTATTTTGAACTTTGCATGGAATTTAAAACAATAAAGTTGGATTTTTATGGACCTCCATTTCATGCAGCTGATTGGAGATTGTTTGACGAGGGGGAGCACACTGCAGCCTGCACCTGATGTCTGTGTATACATAATTCAGTCACACCTCTCATACTAAGTAGCTATATTTTCTACATACAAGATTTAAATATAAATAAAAACTCAATAAATGTTCTTAAAGAATCAACTAATGCCCAAATATACAACTTATAACCAAAATGCCCATAAGCAGGGCTTGAAAAATCCACTTGTGCGCTCATCTGACGAGAAGCTTGCTGGCCGGCCGTTGTAATTACATGGCCGGCCAGGAGCTTTACATTCAAGCGATCGAGCGTCTCGAGACGCCCGAACGCTTGTATTACCAGCAGCTGCCACTGCCTGCCACCGGCACGGCTCTGTGACAGGAGATCAAAGGGAGATCAGTACACGATCTTCCTTTGATCTACTCTCCAGTCCCGGAATGGAGAAGTGATGTATATTACATCACTTCCTGCATTCAGTGTCACTTTCCAGCTACAGAACAGAAGCTGATGAAGCAGATCTCTGCTTCATCAGCTTCTCTGGGGGTCCCTAGGTGGCATTAGGGGTCTTGGAGACCCCTGATGTCTCCATGAAGAGGTCCTGTCATGTAAATTGGCTATCACATAGGGGGCTTCTTATCCCCTCCCATGTAATAGCAATAAAGTTGTGTAAAAAAAAAAAGTAATACAAAAATTAAAGAACCATAAAAAAATAAAGCATAAAAAAAAAAAAATTTAAAAAGCAAAAACATTTTTTTTTTTAAATTCTCCGCCCTCCACATACACATGCAGATATGCGTCGGGTGCGCCTACGTGCAATAACAACTATTGCACCTATTGTGCCGCACATGTTACATATAACCGCGAACGTTGGTGTGAGCAATAATTTTAGGGCCATTTTAGGGCCATTAATTAGCACTAAACTGATGATCGGTAAAATCGTTTTAAGCATCGCCTATGGCCAATTTTCAGTGTGGTATTTAATATAATTTTAAGGCTTGACATGTGTGGGGTCTATTTACCCGATGTGACCCTGTCTTTTATGTTTTACCAAAAATATGGGTAAGAACAGATGTTTTATAACATAACGTCGGGAAATTTAGTTTTTACAAATGTTTTACTGTACTTTTTTCAATGTATTGCATTGCTCTTCACATGATGGCTTCATTGCCACCTCTTCGGGACCGCTGCTCTCCTCTCCAATCCTCTCTTGCTTTTTTGCCTCTCTGCTCCTCTTTCCCTTGAGTTGGTCCACTCTACTGTCTGCTCCTTTTTTTCTTCTCCATTTCTTCCCACTCCTGCTCCCTTCCTCCTTTGAAGAAAACCGTATGTCAAGTCTCCCCCCCACCCCATTTCATTTTCTTGTGCTCTCAATAGTACACATTGCATTTGCCCTAGCCTCACCTCGCACGCACTCCTCTTTGTACTTGTCTCCCGTTTGATGACCTTGTGCTTGGTAATACCCTGCTGTCACATGCTTTCTCATCTTGTCTCCTGTTTGTATCTTAAAAATATTGAAATGAGCACTAATCTAATCTCCCATTCACATCTGAAAATGTTTTTGCACATTTCCCTATGCCTGACAAGGCTAAACATCAAAATTCCATTGTTTTCTATTGTGGCCATTTACATCTTAATGCTTAGCGATTCGGAGCATTATATGATTTTATTTTGTAGAGGTGATTCCATTAAAGTGTATGGGCCAAAAATGCGTAACACAAGACACAAGCATTTATGTTTTTGATGCTGAAGAACTACTCTCCTCCTCTAGAACAGCTTTTCACTGGCTAAAGGAAAAATGCCCGACGCTTGATATACTTGCAAAAAACGATCGCACAAAGCTTGCAAAATGCTTTTAAAATGTGTAAAAATTCACAAAAAGCTTCAGAAATCTACTCTTTTCAGGTGTGAATGCAGACTTAAATGCAATACGCCGAACATCTTAAGCTAAAAAATTGGCACCAAACATTTGTACCAAGAAAAAAAAAAAAGTATTACACTCTATCAAATTTCCACCATCCCAACTCACAAATTAACACTAAACCAAAATCTACAAACCGAAAACTTCTTTAGATAGTACACAGTAAAACTCACAGCAGTTGATAGGATGGGGGAACGGCACTGAACTAAACATTTCCATTTAAAAAACAACTCACCAAAGTAGCGAGAAAACTTTTCTGCATTGAGAGTGGCACTCATCAGTATGATCTTCAAATCTGGGCGACGGTTCAAAAGATCCTTTACTATGGCCATGAGGACATCAGACTGCAGGTTTCTCTCATGAATTTCATCAAGGACAATGTGACTGACATTGGCCAAGCATCTGAAACGAAACAAAACTGGCTGGAAAATCATTTATAACACAAAGTATATTTACAGTATTGATATGCATAGGTGTGTACTTACTGGTCAGACTGAAGCCACTGTAGAACTATGCCAGTTGTACAGTACAAGATAGAACCCTGTTTCCGAGGCAACTGGCTAAAATGTTTAAAAAAAGAAAATAATTCCATTACATGCAACATGGCAGAAACATTCCCCCAGAAGAAGTTAACATGCCATTTCTAGATGCATTACTCATGTAAGAAGTGAAAGTATTGTAAAATGTTACCCATCAATTCCACCAATTATTTCTATAGTAAACAAGCCTAAAACAAAGGACTGTAAGGAGAGACTAACCAACCAGCTCTGTATATGGTACTGTAAATGATGTCCTATCACTAGATGATATATCAGGGTAAATGAGGAGGGTGATTATCCTTGTGAGGGCAATGACAGAGGAAGAAAGCATCACATGCTCCCAATATCTAGAAGCACCAGGTATTTCATAGGTCTACAGCAGAAACACAGGGCAGCAAAAGAGTGCAAGGAAATAAGTATCAGCATTAGAGGAGATGGCTATTATTCACACTCGTTACTTTGCTCAGTACTTATTTTGCCGACAGTGCGATTCTGATATTTGTTTTGTAAATTTACTAAATCTAAGCGAAACCAAGACTACGAGAGCTTTTGCACTTGTATCTATTCAATTCAGAGATGAGGGCGGCGGGGTTCCCCAGTAAGGAGGAGGAGATGTGTGGCCAGCACTGTAAACAGGCACCTCAGTTCACTGAAAAGCTGCCGAGTTCCCCAGCAAGTGCGGGACCTCAGGCAGCCAGTTCAAAAATATGTCAAGCAACGGTATCAGCATTTAGTATCGGGGCATTTTCGCGGGTACTTGTGAAAATGCCCACTATCAGCACAGATACCTGTATCGGTGCATCCCTAGTGAAAAGTATTGTCTACGGAATAATTATATTGCTATCCCCCACAGACAGGAACACTATTCTATGTTTACCTGCACTGCAGGATAAAACTACAGTAATACCTTGGTTTACAAGTAACTTGGTTTGAGAGCGTTTTGCAAGACAAGCAAACATTTCTGAAACATTTTGCCTTGATATAGAAGCAATGTCTTGCAATAAGAGCAAAATTTTATAGAAAAGCGCCACCCGAATAAGGCTGTAGCAGTGCGAGCGATGAGTCTGTTTAACGACAATGCAATGTCACATTGGATAGATTCCTTGTTAAGGTTTCACGAAATGAAAAAGATTCCATTGAGTCAAGAGATAGCAGTGATTCCGTTAGTGACAGTGAAAGTTGTCCTACACAATAATCCTCCTCTCTCTTGTCCCTCTCACACCGGCCACAAAGGTACCTGTAATTGGTTTATTTTTCTTTATATTTTGTACAGTATTATAATCATTTTATATGAATATTTTTGGGATGTGGAACGAATCATCTGAATTTCCATTATTTCCTATGGGGAAATTCGCTTTGATATACAAGCGCTTTGGATTACAAGCATGCTGCCGGAACCAATTATGCTCGTAAACCAAGGTATTACTGTACTGGCTTAATTTGCATAACTCGGCAAAGCCCATTGCTAAACAAAATCCCAAGTCCTCACTTATGCTTCATTCTATAATCCAATAAGCTTTTACGAAGAAAAAAAATTGCTTCTAGCAAAAAAATAAAAAATACAATTTGGCACATTAGTGAAGCTCAACCACACAGATGCTCCATTGATTCTGTGTGTAGTAGTTGCAACCAAGAACCACATGCCTGGAGTATTTATATTGATACACCAAGTTTACAAAGCTATGATTTATCTGGACAATAATGACAGGAGGACTCCAATTAACAAATTATTAATCTACTATGGCATACCTTTCAAGACGAATTTGGTAACCAGTGCTATTCCCCCTCCCGCATGGTTCAGCTCGCTCTGCAGCAACACGTTCTGCTACCTAAAATAAATACATATTGGCATAAACTTTAAGTTATCTAATAATCAAAAATATATGAAATGAAACAAGTATCTTAGCAGCATAGCATTTAAAAAATAAAGACAATCAATAACAATAGGATCATCATAAGAAATGCCTTTTCAATTTTAAAAAAGGCAAAATGTGCTTTTCACTGCACACTTATACAGAATATAAATACATTAAAGCAGATGATCAAACGGCGTTCCTGTTGGCAAGGGATGTGCATAAAGATAAATTAAAGGGATTACATTTAGTAACCAATATCCACAAAAAACATTGAGTACATTTATATAAATGATGCAGCATCAAATATGTACAGAGACTACATTGCATTAAAATATTCACTGCCGTAGGCATGGAATACACACCATGCTGACATATAAATATATGCAATTCCAGGTATGCAAACAGACGCTATGGTGTACAAATATTCTATATAGATATCTTTGGCAAAACAAGGCCTTCAGCCATCTGTACATTTCAATAAAAATGTTGCCTCTCTGCTAAACAGTTTTATAACTCCAATTATCCTGACCTCTGATGAAGAGGACACTGTGATGAAACCTGAAAAGGACATAAGATATATTTTCTTGCATTTTTTTTAGCAGAATCTGACTTTTATTAGGAGAGGGCTTATCCTATTTATCTGACAGGTTAGTCTGTATATAAAAATACCAGTGCATAGTTAGACAGGGCAGCTCTCTCGGTCTCTTTAAGCAGACCTTTACCTTCACCTGAGCTGGGCAAGAAGCTATGGAAGGGCTGGCTTGTAAGCCCTTTTTAGTGATAGCAATTATGTTAAAGCGGACCTTTACCCAGATCTTTAAAATAACAACAAACACACCTTTAGAAATGTTTAGTAATGACAATCTACAAAAACATACTTCTGGATAATTGCCGGCTTTGTATTCTTTGCATACCCCATTTCTCTTTTCTTCCCCAGTCCTCCAACAGTGGCCATGTTTACTAAGGGCAGATTACTAGCTCTCCTACTACTTCCTGGATTTCTGGCACATGTGACTAGACATGTGACTAGACATGTGACTAGACATGTGACTAGACATGTGACCATGCACCTCATCTCAGGGGAGGAAAAAGCCTTTCCCTGAGATGAGATTTCCCAGCAATGCTCTGCTGATGACAAGCAATCCCAGTGTGCCTTGTTTTGGCAAAATGAAGTCATTTGCACTTTTAAAAGCAGGAAGTGAATGCTGTGCAAGTATTTCAAAATCACAGCATTTTACATCTGACATGTCTATGTTATTAATCATAATACATAGAGAGATGCATTTGTACAATTTGATGAGTGTAAAGGTCCGCTTTAATTGTCCTGATAGTTACTGTCATTGGTATAACACATACTGCATAATTCAATACTTTTTATAATTAATTTTAACAAAATTGGCTCTCCTCCAACGTAAAAAATACATTGTCCAAATCTGAAAACAGTCAGTGAACTCCTATCTTAAAATTAGTATTTACAATTATCTAAGCAACATTTTAAGAGCTTGTTAGAACTAAAGACACACCTACACACAACCAAGTTCCTGTACACTAGGAATCACGGAACCCAATTTATTGTGAAAAAAATGAATTCACTTGTTCCCAGTAACCCTAAATCAGTGGGCATGTCCACAGTAAGTGGGAAAAATGTACCCAAGACCGCAAAGCACACGGGACATAAAGGGTGTGATTTAGATGAAATTTGGAAAGTTGTTTAGGTCTCACATAGAACCTATGAAGAATATATAATTGTATGAGTCTGTCAGATAATTTGGGGGAAACTCATTTACAGCCCTTCAGTCTTCCAACATTCCAATGGCCATCTTGCATTTATGCTTAGGCTGATAAGGAAATACAGCAGCTTGGTGGGTGAGAAGCATATTATAGAAAGTAGAAATCTATTGGGAGTGGAACCACACACTCCAGTAAGGGGACCATTGTGGCTGTACAACTCCAAATTTCATCTAAATCAAAGCCTTTATTGTTATTCAGGGATACTAAGAGCGAGTGATCACATCTTGTTCAAGATAAAAAAGGGTTCCTTAATCTCTCTGAACCCAAAATATTGCCTTCTGGGCCTTTTGTGAGTTAGAATTGGATACATTTACTACTATTTTTCTTCATGAAACCTTATGTATCATGCACAAACAGATTGCACAAAGCTAACCGCTCCCCCATTTCCCATCCCATACATGTGTGTAATAGTACATGCAGTTCTAACATAAAGCTAAACTGTGCTTTAGGTTTATTGGTCCTGCAAAAAATAAAAATAAAAAAAGGACAATAAGAATCTTAGTATAACAATAATGATACAACCAATCTAGCTACTGTGAGGCCTCTTGTGTTTAAGGTGACTTGGCCTGTAAAAAAAACAAAAAACAATAAAATGGTCTATAATGAGATTGTAGTTGCAATATGTTACCGAAATGGCACTTATTCTCCTTGGTTGAGTACAGACAATGTGGCATGAGGACCCTTTGCCCTTCAAGATGTAGTCATCCAGAATGAACTGCGTCACTTGGGTAGTTTTTCCACACCCAGTCTCACCACTAATAACGGTCACCCGACTGGAATTTATCATTTTAATTATCTCCTGAAAACGGAAACAACAAAAATTACATCACGCAGTACATTAGAAGAAAAGCACCTTGATGAAAAAACAAAACATAACCCTTTGCAGTGTCACTTTAGCACTTAGGTAAAATACATCTGGGCTAATGAAAAAATATGAATATTCAGCCTTAGGTTATTATACATTATTGTACAGACTTACACATAAAAAGATTACAATGAAGTCATTACTCAATGTCTCCCAGCTTTTCAGAGTGTAGCCAATTCCCATATTTATAGGACATTTGTGTGATTTGTTTTTGAATTAATTGCAGTGTTATGTACTCTTAGAAGCTGCTGTGACATCAGGCAATCTTAAAGACATCAACTTTCAGATGTTAGTGGACTGCTGTCAGGCTGAAGTGTCAGATTCTAAGTCTGTAGGGTTTTAAAACTGTAAAGATTGGATATTTAGATTTTGTTTTGCAAAACCTACAGCTAAAACTTTAGGAACTAACCAGCTCCTAATGTAGTAACTAAGGAGCTTTTCGGTGTACTTTAAAAAGGAACCTGACAGGTCTAAATCCTTTCTATAGGTAACAAAGCATAAACCTTTTGGGCCAGATCTAGTTCATTTAAATCTTGTGATGCTGAATCTTGTGATGCCGCCACGTATCAGTGTTGAAATTCAAATCAATCACTATGAGGTTACTTGGATCCCCAGCCTAGGCTATATATGGGGCCCTTTAAATTCTGCCCATGGCACAAAGCTTCACCTTCAGATATCCAAAGGAAGCATTTCATAGTAGAAGCCCTGATATTTGACAGTTGAATGGCAAGTTATATGGTGGTGCTCAGCACCAGAAGGGGGGTAGGGGTTTCATTTCAATGAAAACTCAAGACAAGCTGGAATTAGAATTCACAGTGATGATCGATTTCAAAACTAACCGGTGTTTGCAGTCACAAGATGCCTTCACTTCAGAACATGTACTAAAAGGTCAACTAAAATCATGAATACACACAATGTTACTGCGTCACAGTATAGGTTATACCTCAGACACAAAGTTGAATTAATAGACCTGCCAAACCCATGTCCTGAGCGAGCTCCAACACATGATTAGTGGGTTGAAGTGCTTGGCGGAAGTACCCACCGCCACCAAATGACCAACCCCTTTTTGGCTGCGTTAATGAGGCACTTTAGATTTCCATCATACATCATTACACTCATTAACCAGTTGACATCCGCGGTGTTAAACCCCCTTCCCATCCAGGCCATTTTTCAGTATTCAGCGCTGCGGTAACAAAAAATATTTAGCCTCCAGTAACATCGCTACAATGTGACATCATAGGTGCATTGAAAGGTGCACTTGCGCTGCGTTGTGGTAGGTAGCCCATACATTTGAATGGGCTGCTTACTACAGCCTAATCCCACTCAAAGAAGTGCATGCACTTTTTTTTAAATTGCATCAGAACACATGGAGGGCAATATTAAAACTGGAGCAGACAGATCCTGGAGCAGCTGCCCATGGCAACCAATCAGCTTCTCTATTCAGCTTGCTCCGTTAAGATTTGAAAATGAGAGAGAAGCCGATTGATTGCCATGGACAGCTGCTCCAGTTTTGATATACTCCCCTCATGGTATTAGGTTATCATGCACTGTGGTGCAATGCCACACACATGCGATGGCTAGGTGCCTTGTGGTGTCATTAAGAAAGAAGTGCACCTAACATTGCAAAATATAATCTCATGTGATGCTAAAACTCAGTTGAACACTCACAATTACTGGAATGCAGTCAACCTGCATATACAGTAATAACTTTGGGGGTATTTTACTTTTTTAACTACTAAAATACACAGCTTGTTTTAAAATACCTGTGCTGACAACACATAGGAAAGCTCATTCACACAAAGTGCCCTGCCTCTCCAGCAGATGGACACATTGCACCGAACACTGTTCTAACCAACAGCGCCTCACTCCCTGTACAGCAATATGAGTAATGGTTATAAAATAATGTTTGATAAATATTTCCAGTCATATACTATACACCAGGCAAGACAGACATAACATTATTAGGTCATATTTTCTCACCTCTTTCATAGTGTACGATGGTAACTTTGCACGGAACCGCTGGAAATACAAAGCAAAACAGAATCACTAAAGATGTAAACTAGAAGCCATTACACAAATATACAGATGCAGCAAACAAGCATTACATTTCATAGCACATTAAGACTGTCAGAGAGGCCGAATTAACAAATAAACCTAAAGCTGACCTTGCACTAAAATTGAAGTTCACTTATTACATTAGCAACCCCCACTATCGCATCTCAAATTACTGCATTAAAAAGAGTGAAGAAAAAAAAAAAAAATACAGCGAAATTGTGAGTGCGACTGATGTAGTAAGTGGACCTTGCCTTTTCCTATGCTTCTCTGCTCCATTTACTAGCAGTAATGCCATGTGACTGCTGGCGAACGGTTCATAAATCAGCCCATATGAATGAAAGGTTATTAATTGGTCAGTAAACGTCATTGAATTTGAAGTAGACACCGGTATTGACCTAGAGGCAAAATCTTTTGTTCAGTTTTAATTTTCTTTTTTACTCTGTACTCACCATTAAAAATAATTAGGTTACTATAACTGCTGACCATTCTTTCCCTCATAGTTAGCATATTTATTTTTATTTGACGATTACAATCCTGGTTAGATGGTTTTATGTAAAACATTATTACATCCCTTAAGGCCTTGTTCACACCAAATGCAGAGCAGTTCCGGGTCAGGTTTCTGCACATCTTTTAGATGCATTTTTGGCAAAAAAAAATAATTGTTTTTAGTTTAACATTGGCTTTCAGTGCGTTCCAGGCATTTGCATGCGTTTTTGATGCGTTTGCAGATCCAGAGCAGGTAAAATAGGGCCTGCTGCAGTTTTTTTTACCTGCTCTGGATCTGCACACTGCGATGTGAACTGGAGCTAAAAATACCATAGGAATACATTGGACGCAGTTTTGATCCGGTTTGCACCTGCTCTGCGCTTGGTGTGAACTAGCCATTACAGAAGAGTGCAGCTAACCCTCCTTACCCTGGCTTTGTTATGATCAGTTTCGCCAACAGGACACTTTAAAGAAGAACTCTGAGCGGAAATAATCTTGACACTTGCAATGGGGCTTCCCCCACATTGCTAGGGCTGTGTGCTTGTTTTCATCTAGGGAAAAAAATAAAAAACTTTATACTCATCTGAACCTTGCAGCTGGCTGGCTGCTACTCTGGACCCTACCTCCCATCTCCTCCTCTGCAGCGGTGGAATGTCTCCCGGCGTCCTTACATCCTATAAACTGTATAGGACATGATGACTCAAAAGACCTTAGACTGCCGGAGAGGCAAAAGAGGCTCCAGTCTAACGTCCAGCCAGCTCCAAGATTCAGGTGAGTATAACTTTTAGATTTTCATCCCTAGACGAAAACAAGTACTTAACCCTTGCAGCGCAGGGCTAGACCCAATGTAAGGTTTAAGAATAATTGTGACTGGAGTTCTTCTTTAACCTCCCGGGCGGTATTTCCGAGTGTGGCTCGGGGTTAATTTTCAGTACCAAAAGCGGTAACCCCGAGCCACACTCGGGATTGCGCAAAAGTGTCACTTAGCTTGTCTCTGCGAGCCCGCGGTGTCCTCTGCTGTGTGCGTTTTCGGGCGTCACAGCGGGGGGCGGAGCCGGCGGGAAATTCAAAGTGCAAACATGACATTTACACAGAATACAATGTAATCTGCTATAATTACATTTATGTATCAAACTATTTCACTTCAAGTTTGTCTGTAGAGCTTTGTCCAGTGCCCTGCCTGCACTTTTACGGTTCTTTCTGCCTGGAAACTTGTGAACGTTCATGGCATCCAAAAAGCGTCCCTTTAGGTCAAAATCAGTTTCAGACCAGGTAGAAAACAGCGATAGTAAATTAGAATCCCTTGCAGAATTGAGCGATAGCGATTCGTTGGGAAATTCTTCATCAGACACTGAAAGTGACGACTGCGACGATTCTGCGACCGAGCTCAGTGATGTGCGAGCTTGGTCCTCTATAGACTGTGGTACGGATCAGGCAGTGCCCCCAGAATTCCCATTTACTGGACCATTTTTTTTTATTATTGTATTATAATTTCTTATAATTTATGATTTCGTGTTTCAAACTTTATCATACCCGGGATGTCTACTGGACTCTTGTTTGGACAGATTTAGGTGAGTTATTCTGAAGATTTACTAAGAATTACAGGCCTACAATATAAACAACAAATTGCCATGAAAAACAATGTACCGCTTTGGCATGTTAAAATCCTCCATAATCAGACCGCCAGGGAGGTTAAAGAAAACCTGTAGTAAATGCAACATGCACGATTGCCAACGTCCAACTGAGAATCCTAGTCTCCTGGCAGTCTCTGATGTTATTACTTTCTAAGTTACTGACCAGTATAAAGATATTAAGCAAAGGAGGTTAAGGTGAAGACAGAGTTCCTAATCTACATGCTTGTTTCAGGCCTGTTTTATATATAAAGCCACTGGAACAACATGGCAGCAAAGCAACTAACATTTTTAAAAGAAGATGTCCGCAATAGAAGTCTTTGTTTCTTACTACACTTTCCTTCAAAATTAAAACAATACAAACATTTAGATAACGGTTTGCCTGCCTTTGACATATCACCACCTCGTCTATTCTCCAGCTGGCCACATGCTCACTCCATTGATGATGCCAAGGGGGGCAGAAGCACAGAGCAAGACAGATCATACTGGATTCCACTCCCAAGAGGGAGCCATTCCCAGGAGTAGAGAATGTTCAGACAGAAACATAAATGCTCTCTTTTGTAGAGTAGGAGACCCCTGTCAGTTGCTCTTGCCGCTTGTGTCCCTTTTGCAGATGTCCCCTCACTCCCTATCAGGTAAAATTGTTATCAATGGAAAAGTAAATGAGGGGAAATTTCTCCAACGGAATACAAATTCATCCAGTGGTGAAAAATATTCATAGTTCTTTTACATAACGCATATACATTTTTTTGAAGTGTAATAGATTCTTATTACATTAAGTACCTGCATTTCAAGGTATCTGGGATTCGTTTTTTTGCTCTGCAGCTCTTCTTTAAGTGTTTGATCGAAGGCTGTATTTTCCTTAAAACACTCACTAGCACACGCAACTTCATCGTCATCATCCCAGGCATCTTTCTCTGGAAATGCAGTTTCTCTGAGTTGAGTAGCAGTACTGTTTCTGGAGAGGAGGGGGAATGAACAATTAAGATGGAACCATACAAATGTTGTAATACTTAAAGTGGACCTTTAACAAAAAATCACATCAGCAGCTCGGCATGCTGACATGAAATCATCTTACATTCATTAGGTAAACATTTTTTGCTTTCACTTACAATTAAAGTGGCATTAAAGTCAAATCTTTTTTTTCCCCTCCCCCCAATGTTAAAACACTTCCCCTAAATGATGCATCTTAATCCGATAGAGCTGCAGCTAACGATTATTTTCAAAATCGATTATTGAAAAAGTTGACAACTTTTTCAATAATCGATTATAATCGATTAGTTGTTGCAGCCCTATAATCCGATCTTCCTCTTCTTTCCTGTCCTTTTCAGCCTTCTCTCCAGCGCTAACTCCTCTGTCCTTGCTGGCACTTCCTGTGTGTCTGCATGCGGGTGCACGCTGTCCATAGACTTACCTTGCGTCTCTCCTCATCTCCCGGCCGAAAATCCGAACTGCACATGCGGCCGCCCGAGCAGTTTCAGATTTTCGGACGGGAGCGCGCGGCGAAGACGCAGGTAAGTTTAAACCGCTTTTAAAGCGTTTAAAAAAAAAACTTTTTGCATATATCTGCTGCTTGCTAGGAGTAGATATATGCAAAAAAAACGGAGGGTTTAGAAACCCTTTAATGTTTTTCCACTTCCTGGTTGATTGTGACACTGGAGATTTAGCCCTGATCAAACAGATGCATCCTGGGAAGGATACATTACCAGTGCCTTCCTGGGAAATCTCATCTAGAAACTCAAAATTCCTACACTTGCTATATAATTCCTCACATGTCCTATAATTAAAGTTTACCTTTCATTTTCACCGTCCCACCAGGAGTCTTCAGAAAGAGTTGGCTTTACATCATTGTTTTGCGCCTGCACGGTGCTAAGAAGCTTTGTGATTTGTAGTTCCCTGGATTCATCCATGCGCACAACAGCTCTCTATAAAGAGAAACATTTTCACTTAAAGCATACTATACTTCCATAGCCCAAAAATCACTGCTCCTTCATAGCAGCACCAGAGAGAGAATGCCTAAATGATAGATTATAAAGGTGACACAAATCTTTTATAGAGCACACAATGGTGAATGCGCAGTCTATCACTGTGCAATTCATTTCAATCTCTCCAAAGCACTGGCAGAACTACCAGGGTTGCAGCGGTCACATTTGTGACCGGTCCATGGTGTTCCACCATCTGGTTTGGGGGGAGCCCGGAAAGGAAGTAGAAGGCCCAGCCCAGGCAAATGCCGAGGTGCCAACATTGCCTTCTGGGACTACAGCTCCCAGCAGGCCAACGCTCCAGAGTGGGGGGGGGGGGCACCGGGTGCCTGAGGTTTCTATTTACGCCTCTGTGGCTGTGTGACTGAGGCCGTATGGCCTGTTTTTTATGCAGGATTGATCACAGTATTTTATTATGCCGTGTACATGAGCCCTTACAGACAGAGCTGTGAATATTATTTAGGGACACACGGGGGAATTTACTAAAACAGGAGCAGTTGCCCTTGGCAACCAACCAGCTTCTCTCTTCTTTGTTCAGTTATAAAAACTCCAGGAATGAACCCTTGCAGTGGGCAACCGCACACTCCAAAGGTTAACTGCTGGTTTTTTTGTAGGAGCCAGAACACAGCTGTAGTATGACCTCCAGCGCCTCACGTCTATGGCGGATGAATGGACCTGCATTAGACATAACGTCAGTGGGACTTAGACCACTGGAGCCCTGGGGAGAAGAGGCTGCGGGGACCAGCCCAGAGGGACCGAGGATTCGGTGGGTATATTTTCTTCCAGCCCCTACACCAAAACAAGCAGTTAACCCTTGCAGTGCAGGGGTAGCCCCACTGCAAGGGTCAATTCCTGGAGTTCTCCTTTAGACCCCATTCACACCTAGCGACATACCTTTTGCAGCGGATCCGCACGGCCGGGATAGCGCGACTTTCGGGGCGACGTTCCAGCGACGGTAGCGCGACCTTCCACGTCGGGCTCCATAGAAAAAAGCAAAATCGCGCAAAATCCGCAGAAAAAAGGGTCCGGTAGAAGCGACTTGCGACCGCGACGAGCGACATGGAGTTAAGACAGCTCCATTGAATAACATTGGCCGGCGACTTCTCGCGATATCGCGCGGCAAAAATGCACGATATTGCGGCGGAAATCGCGCGACAATTCGCTATATGTGAACGGGGCCTTAGGCTTTGAAAATGAAAGCTAGAAGCTGATTGGTTGCCATGGACAGCTGCTCCAGTCTTAGTAAATTCCCCCCACTGTAACATGGTTATGTAGAAGAAGATGCTGCAGATGTAAGACACTGTGATGTAGATATACAGGATCCATGAATGAAGCATCATCCTGGTTGTACAGGAAGACAGACCATCCTATAGTTACACACACCGCAAGAGGCCCACCTACCTCCATCCTCTCCTTATCCTTGCTCTTATTGCCCTGTCTCCGGGCATACCACATGCCGATCTCCCGGCCTTTCAGATGCGGTGGGGGCTTTTCTCTGCCACCCCCGCTACAATCTTTAGACGAGCCACCTTCGTGGTGGGATGAGAAGCCCCGACCACGGCCGCCCCGACCACGACCCCTGCGCTGTTCGTAGTTCATGGTCGTTCAATAGCTACAAAACACAGAGCCAGTCTCAATACCAAAATGATCGTTTACCGGCAGATCATGAGCCGCCGCAGCTCCCGTAGACAGCCTATTGGCGCAGGCGCGAGACCCGGAAATAACGTGAGAAGAAAATAGCTGTCCAGAGCCATTTTGTTGTAGACAAATCCTTATTCATTTACAGGGAAACAAGCACCAATAATATGGCTCCTTGAACGAAGAAGCCAAAACGCTACTGGGTTGGTCATCACGTGTTCGCGTGGCAGCACGTGATCAGCTGCGCGTTCCAGAGGTGTCGTATGTACGGGAGGCAGACATGATATTGGTGGGCACAGCGTGCTTTCTCGTGAACTAGCGAGATTTTTGTCTGATACAGGTTTTTTTATGGTAATGTTAAGTTAGGAAAGCTCCAAAGTAAAACTTTGTGATAGTGAAAGAAAACGTGCAGTAAAAAGATACTGGTAAAAAAAAATGTGCCTGCTTAATTGAGTAAATGTGTGCAGTGATAGCGCCCTCTCTCTGCAATTTATGTGTTTGTTTTTTACTGACATGGAGTTGTTGGTTCGAATGCTGGCCAGTGCATCATCTTCATGGAGTTTGCATGTTCCCTTTGTGCAGGGGCTGACTGGCAACATTTAGCCCAGGGGGCAAGTACAACCTAGAGGCCCATGGTGCAGCAACTTGGCATTCAAAAACAACACGCTCATTGGTTAAGTGGCTATTATCTGAGTTGGCCCTAGTATGTGTGTAAAATCCCGAGGGAAGCCTCCTATAGCAAACCATGGTAACAGGTTTTCCTACGTAGGCGCACCCAATCCGTGTTTATGTTAGTATGCACGTGTTTGCGGAGGCGATGGACTTTAAAACAATGTTTTTGCTATTTTAAATTTATTTTATTTCGCTTTTTTTTTTATTGCACCCTTGTAGCATATTAGTGGTTACATGTTTTCTTTAAAGGTGACATTAAAGGTTTATTAGACTGCTAATATCACCTTTCCTCTTCAAATAAGCTAGCTTGAACAGCTTCTTCCTCGGCTTCTTTAACTGGGAAGGACAGGTGAAAAGCCGGAAGTGATGCAATCAGCGTCACTTCTGACTCCATTTAGCACAGAGGAGATCAGAGAATGGATGTTCACTGGTCTGCTACCTGCCGACACCTACATTGCAGAGCCCAGACTTGCAGGCGAGGAAGCGGAGCCCGGGAAGCAAGGCAGGGGGGCGTCGGGCAAGGAGGAACCAGTTTACCGGCCCCTGGAAGCAATCTGGCAGCAGCTCAGCCACCAGAATCACTTCCAAAGTAAAGCCACCAGCTGCCAGGGGCATTTACAGTGACCATCAGCCAGCACTGTATGGGGTACGACACTGGCAGTGAAAAGGGTTAAAGCAACTCTGTTGTCACCTAAATTAAATTTTGCAAAATGCTAAATGGAAAAGAAGGGTTTTAACCACTTTAACCAAGTCCGCGGTGTTAAACCCCCTTCCTGTCCAGGCCATTTTTCAGTATTCAGTGCTGCAGTATTTTGACTGACATTTATTCCGTCATGCAACGCTGTACTGAAATGCATTTTATACCATTTTTTGGGGACAGATAGAGCTTTCTTTTGGTGGTATTTAATCACCACTGGGGTTTTTATTTTTTACTATATCAAGGAAAAAGCACCAAAAAAAAACTTTCCCCAATATTAAATTATAAAACATTTATTATTACCCAATTTTTGGTAAAATATAAAATAAACAGGGTCACATCGAGTAAAAAGACACCAAACATGTCAAGCCTGAAAATTGAAGGCACGCATGAAACCTTACAAAAGTACAATACCCAAAATTGGCCATGAGCGACGCTTTAAAGGAGAACTATGGGGTCAGTGTTTTTCCCCATAGTTCTCCTTAGGGTAACGGGAGGACACAAACTAGCGTCCTCCCGTTACCCTAAGCTCAGTATACCGCGAGCTACAGCTCGCGGTATACTGAGTCGCCGGAGCGGATCCCGACTTAGATGACGGGATCCGCCCAGCTGCGTGAGTGACAGCTGGCTCTGCCTATCTAGAGGCAGAGCCAGCTGTACCCGCCCCCTCCCCCGTCCGTTCCGCCAGCCAGCGCTGGCAGATCGGAGCAGGGAGAGGGGAACCCAGCCCCTCCCCCTGTCACGGCAGAGAGCCGTGACAGGCTCGAGAGGTGAGCGAACGCCGGTATGTGTTCGCTCACCTCCCGATCTACTGAGCCGACCTGTGACAGTCTCATTGTCACAGGTCGGCTAGAACTATGAGGTGAG